GTACTGTGTCTGGATCTATAATTGGATACCTTTATAGTAAAGGCTGCACATTTGACAGAAGTGTGCTACAACAAAAGGAAACTTGAGATCACCACAGCACAAAGATAGAAATGACTGTTGGGCACAAAGAGAGGCCTCAATGAAGGGCATTTGTCTATTTAAGATTACATGGGCATCAAGGTTTCCCACTTCATCAAGTTTAACCCAGAATTTGGAAGTCCTCCTAGGAGATCAGTTCTATTGAACAGGTTCTACCCAATCTTTACCTAACTTCCTAATATAAAAACATTATAGAAGAGGTCTTTTCTTCATTTAAGATTGCCAATAGTGATAAAAGTTATGAGTGTAAATGAACTTTCTCGCTCTAGATTCCTACTCCTGATCTGAGCCCTCTGTATTTTCTCCTATTTAGTAGCAGGCACTGGTACGTCTGCTTTACTGATCTTTTGATTATAAGATAAGTTAAATGCTTTCTGCAATGTAAACATAATTCTGGCCTCAACTTTTTTTTTAATTAAAAGTGGCTCAGTTGGTTACTGCCTCTTAAACACAGTAATATAAATATCAGTATCCTGGTTCAAATTAATTATTGACAGCTTTAACACATGTTGCATAGTACATATTAACAGAAAAATACATGTCAGCAAAAAAAAAAAAAAAAATGTTGACCATATTCTAATCCATTCCATCTGCTCAAACATTAGTGCAAATAATTATACATTTGTGATGACCCACTGCTGTCCAGCACAAACCTATGCTTTCCTAATAATGCCTTTCTTTTGAGGTTGTTTGCTATTTGGAGTATGACATGATATATTCTGATTTAATTTGGCTTTGTACATTAAGGCAGATGGCAACCTTCTAGCCACCACGGAAATGAGCAACTGTGTTTAACTGCTTACCCTTTTCACTCTAAATGGATATTTAGTTATAAAAGTAAATGTTTATTGATACCTATACCAAATAATATCACCAAATAGCAGTGATAAAATATGCAGTGCCTAGTTAAAACTATGTACTTAGTTAAGCCCAGGGATACCAGCTCTGCCCACCAATGAAAATTCTAGTAACTATAAATTATCAATAAGCTACTTTTTGTTCTACATACATTTTCATTCTAGACTACCCATTTCAAGCATTAAACAGCTAGCAGAATCAGCAAGCCTATGACATTTATTCTATTTTTGAATGTAAAAGGGGGAGTTATTTTCTCCCACGTGATAAACTACATGAGCATATGCATGTGTATATAATATATTCCTAAATTCATAATTATAACTACTCAATCTACATAATGGTATTTGTATGCATACTTTCTGCACTGACCAGAATTTAAAGGAGAGCAAGGAGGGGTAAACGGGAAAATTTGGAGAGAACAAGAAGGGGGAAATTATGTAATTTATTATAATTTCAGAATTATAAAAAAACCCAAAAACTTATGAAATACCTAGATTGTTAAAATCATTAAGCAGAAACAATATGATTGCATAATATATTTGCTAAAGGAAAACCTCTGTGATGGGCAGGTTTCCATTAAGTACAAACTTAATATTCAATTAAAATTTCATGACTACTTATATAACTTTAAATACCAATTGAGAAAGTATGATCACACACTGACCATATTTTTTAAAACCCAGCAGTATCTTGATACAGATCCTGTATTCCAACCTCTACCTAAACTTCACAGTGACAATCAAATACTGGATAAAAAGAAAATTAAGTAAAACTAATGAGGCTGTCAAAAAAAGGAATATACATGTTACACAAATAAGAAAAATCAACATATATTATTTACTCCCATTAGATGAGATTTAAGTCTGAGCCCGTGTCAGAATCTAGGCCTGTTCTGTGCCTTACGTTTTTCACCTGACAAACAGAAATAATAGTACCCAAATGATAGTTACTCTGGAATCAATAATATATGCAAAGGACAGCACAGTATATAATTATCTTTACTATGCATTAAAATTTTAAATTGCTGTTTTTACTTCATGCAAAACTATTTGGCATAATGATATGCACTGGTCTTCTTTCCCAAAATATGTAGTAAATTGTAGGATAAGCCTTCTCCAGTATAGTAGTAAAGAAACTGAATGTAATTCAATGAACTGGATAAATCAAAGTGCTTTGCATATAAAAGTCTCCATTAGCAATCAAGAAAGTCCAGGTGGATTTCTAGAAAATTTCTTACACTCCTGAAAAAAATCAATGGACAGTGTGTGAGCAATGAGAGAACATTTTTGCAAGAACACCATGTTAATCAGGAGATATAAACTTTGCTGGTCACAACAAGGCATAAATGTGAGTGCCCCTTACTCTTGCACCAACAATTCTTAGCTTTATAAACATGACCACTATGAGAATCAGTGGTATTTTAGGAGCCAATATCTCTTCGTCTGGATGTGTGCTAATGTAGACAGAAACATCTCAAGGAATCAGTAAATTCTCTACTTTGAATCAATCTATTAGCTGATAATTATTTCACTGTATATAAGAAAGCTAGTACTCAGAAAATGAAATATTTAGAAAGAAAAATGGAAAGAGCAAAAAAAAAAGAATAATAAAAAAAACAACAAATAAAAAATCCCCCCAAAAACCCATAAATTACCTGTTTTAAATTTTAATTTAACCTCCTTTAACCTATATTAGCCGCACTTTTTAAAACAAGTAAGACCCTAGGGAATTCACAACAATGGTACTCCTAAATGAGGCCAGTAATTGTCTTGGAATTGATTACAAGATCATATTCTAAAAGTCCATCCACTTATCTATTCTATCAATTAAATCAAGAGCCATTCTAAACCTATGTATAAGGACTTGTGTGTTCTGTCATTTTCAGTAATTCAGAGGCTAGTTTTCCTTCTTAGTCTATGTTCTGCATTTTCACACTAAGACACTTGAGTAAACAATTTTCAGTGTTTTGGAGCAAATATTAAATTATATATTTATATCTAAATGTTATATGTAGTTTACACAGAACTTTGGACCATAATAAAAATTCTTATTTAAATTTTGGTAAAAGTTATTAAACTCCACTATGCCTAACTAAAAATTTCCCACGTGCATATAAAAGCATTTTATTTACTGACAATCTCTTTTGAATTATATATTTTGAACCAAATTTTATGATGCTCATACATGTAAATAAAAGTGAAATGCAAAGAATGTATAATGGTTTAAACAACACACATTTTTATTTCTTTAGAGAAACACTCTATTCTAGCTAGATTCCTAAATCTTGATTATACAATCATGTTCTTTTCTGCAAAAAGTGGGAGACATAAGCTATGAAAAATAAGGACTACGTTTAGTTAAAAAAAAATCAAATATATAATTCATTATAGATGTCCTTAAAATGTAAAAATAGGGTGAAAATTAAAAAAAAAAAAGAAAAACAGAACTGCAGGGAATTTGTTTATTGAGCATGAAAGTTAACACTTCTAAATAAGGTATTCACTTTGAATTTTCTTTGTCCTGTAAGTGGACATAAAAGAAAATATTGCACAGAACTCAAGCATGGAAATAATAACAAAATATCTAAGAGATATCTAAGAGACAAGTGACTGCTTTACATTTAAAAAAAAATTAATTCAAACAAAATAATTTGAAGTGCTTCTCTGATTTGGAAGTCTTAAAATGTTATCTCATGTTTTGATTTTTTTTTTCCTTTCCTTTTTTTTTTTTTTTTTAACAAATTGACACTGTACAAAGAGTTCAAATGGCCAGTAAGACTACTGCCTTAAAACTGTTGGCTTTAAGTAACAGAGGTATAATCTGAATTTACACCAGTACTTCCTACAGTGGCAACAGCACAGTAGAAGCACAGAGCTTTTCTAGTATCTAGAACCTGTTCTGGCTCTCCCTTGTCTGAGGCTAGCTATAGAGAAAGCCTCTAAAACTGCAACATTGTCCTATAAAAGTGACAAAAGTTGGCATGCTCACTGCCCTTGCTTACCTTAGTAACACTGGGATAAACAGAAAATGAAAATCCAGTCAACAGTAACTTGTACAGTAGGTAGTTCTGAACTAGACAGCTTGGCAATGCTGACAGCTATTGAGAGTGAAGTTCTCAGAATTAAAAAACAGTTCCCCCCAAATTAGGGCAAACCCTACATTAAGAGAAAACAATGCCATGAACGAACTGGTTGTTTCAGCTTACCTGGGTTCTAGAAGACCATGAACAATATAATGGACTATATATAACTTAGAATGTATTCTCACAGAGTAAGTTAATAGGGATTATAGAGCAATGGCCTTTCTAAATTTTTATTTGATGTTTAAATTTTTGTGAGTGATTTATTATTTTACCATTTTAAGTCAATTCAATTAATAATATCCAAGTAGGAATAACGTCAGAAATGCCTTGAAAATGGACAATGAAAGACTCTTCAGGTCTGAAAAGCAGGTTTTTGCTGTAAGCTTGCCTCCAAATTTGGGATATATACTATTTATTACCTGAAATTCTCAATTCCTCTTAACATACTGCACATTTAGCCATCCCATTTCATTCCAGATTGGCCTTAAGGGACTGATTGCACTGTTGCTAACCATGTTGCTATTCTCATAAATACCATTTACACTATATGTCACCTTTTTACTCAGAGTATTAAAATAACAAACATGGTCCTTTAAAGTATTCCACCTTAAGTTAAATATAAAACAAGGTAGTTTCATTAATTTCTTGCTAATTAATTGGCTTAAAATCTATTTATCAAATAAGAAATAGGAAATTTTAAGTTTTACCCAGAAAGCAGATATATTCTGATCTGTTCCTAATGTCTACTTAAAACAGGTCATCATTTTAGTTTAATTCATAACATTTTCCCTGGACTAGCACTGCTGTACCTCAGGAAAAGTCCCCCATCCACCTAGAGAAATGATGCTCAACTGTGGTCCTTTTGAGTTGTAACAAGTTCTTTAGGAAAATCTAGTAACTTGGTTTACAATCACCAGTGCTGAAAGTTAACTTTAAAACTGATAAATAAGAAATATAGCTCTACTGTACTTCACCTATTTTAATGCAAAACAGGTTGGTAAGATTTCCAGATAACATTAAAGATCAAGAACTAGAACACTGGTGAAATTTCATTCATCTTCTGACACCAATGTTTTTCAGGGTTATAACAGTCATGTGTAGGTTTATAGAATTTGAAATTTATAAATTAAAGTATGGAATTTAATGTAAACAGGGAAAAGTTACAAAGCAAAATATAGACAGTGGTGTCCAGATTTCAAATAAAATTCCTGGGTAAGTATGGCTGCTGTTTGCTTCCAGTCATTTTTTTTTTTTTTTCCCAACATAAAATATTGGCTGTGTCATAGGAATCTCCTGTGCTTTCTATCATCCGAGGCCTTCTGAAATACATTTCCTTTGTAACTTCAACTCAGCTGAAGTGTCGAGCTAGGCGAGCAGATCTATAGTCAGCACGAAGTTGTACGAAGGAATGAAGTATGTTCTTGTCCAGACTGGCAAGCTGTTCCCCTGAACAGACTTGCTTTAAATTATCTGGAGCAACAACCAGGAGATTGCAAAGTGCATGCAGAGTGTCAAAAAGATGTAATACCATTGGAATCTGGATTGAGAAAGGGAAAAAAGAAAACAAAAACAAAAACAAACAACAAATTACTTCTGCAAATTCTCCTCACATATTGCTAATCAGAACTTGGTAGTATGGGAGACATTGCATATGTTAGAATTTTTAAATCTTCTGAAGAGCTAAAACTCAGGGATTTCCATAGTTAAACTCTTAATAATCTTTGGAAAGATTCCTATTTTTCAATTTTCTCAATAACTTATAATTTGGTACACTAGAACTAATTACCATTAGTATGACACCTTTAAAAATAACAAACATGAGGGAAAATGATTTCAGAGAAACACACATGAAGAAAGAATATTTGCCTAATGTGTGACATAAACATCATCTTTTCATGGATGTTAAAAGGCACCTGGATAGAATGTGCTGAAATATGATCTGATCAAAAATAAAATCCCTAGGGAAAAAATGCTAATATTGAAATGTAACTGGAACAACATGCCCTCCTTATGATGCCAATGAAACCACATACTTCTTAACAAGTCAGTATAGGTTTTTAATGGTATGGCCTGTTTTCCTGGTCTTACTTGTAAGTTCTATATTTGTTTATACATACCTTGAAGTCTTTGGCACATTTTCTATATTCAGCTACATCGCAAATTGCTAACATGCCACCCATACAACTATAGGAATATTGCTGAAGATGCTCATAAATAAGCCGATGAAAACGTACTCCAAGTTCCATCAAAACTGTGTCTACATTCTTCCCATCCATGGAATTTTTAATCTTCTCAACTTGTTTTCTTACATAAGCGCAGACTTTTACACATGCCTGTAAAAGTTTTTCTACACTTATTAAACAGATATGAATATCAGCTTAGTAAAGAAAAATACAGTTTTTCAATTTCTAAGTGTAAGAGAAAAAATTTAAAGTACTATTAGGCACACTAATGAGTGCTCAAGCATTGACAAAGCACATAATATATTAATAAACCGAATATAGTTCCACTCACATTAGTATACTGAACCAAAACATTGTTTTCATCTTCTGGCTTAAAATCTGTTTTCTTTTGTTCTGCTGCCAAGATATGCTTCATCTGTCCAATCATACAATTTAATGTCCTAAGGATTGAGAACACAATATATATTCAACTTACTCAATTTTACTTTTGTATTATACTAAATTAAGTTAAATTCTTTAATTTCCTATCATTACAAAACTACTTGGTATTAGCAAACTAGATTTTAGGAAGAGTCATTCTATGACTTGACCAAATCAAAGAGCTCCTGGTTTGATCATCTTTCTCCCTTGAAAGGATCTTTACTTACTTCATAACTAAGGATCTAAGTCAAAGCCACAGACAGAGAATATTTAGGAAGTGGAAGATAAAAGGCTTAAAATGAATGGCTGTGGTAGCAGGCACACTGCGTCCCATAGTCAAAGAACAATCAGAAAGATGGACAAGTGGTACTAAACCCCAGCTGAAAAATAAAGGCACCGATTAGAAGGCACCCATAATATCTAACTTATGTGATATTCTCCAACAGCAAGCTTATGGCAATTAAAAAAAAAAAAAGACTACACTAATTCAGAAATTACTAGTTGCAAGACAGAGTGGTCAAAATAAGCTTTATGTTAAATTCAAGAGACAAACCACATAATTAAGCACAACAATAATGAGGTCAAGTTACAAAATGACAGTAGCACAACAAGATGGTGAGATTAAAGAGTACAGATCATAGTCTTTGTGCTGTGCCTGATACATATAGCAAATACTTGATAACCAGGGGCTATACTAATTTCCAATCAATATAAGAAGAACATCTTCTGAAAACAGAAACCTGAAAAGTAACAGTATTTACAGCCTTCAGTAAAGATTATAAAAAGTTTTAAAATTCACTCAATGGAAGTTACATGTACAAAACCAATAAAATTATTAAAATATTTTATAGAGATGCCAGAGCACATTAAATAGAAATATAACAATAAATATAACTGCATACCTTTGTTGCTTCAGCAGCACTAAGGATTGAACCAAGGGTTCCCCACACTCTAAAATGCTCTACCCCTGATCTACATTCTAGCCCAGCATCACATTTTAAACAAATTTGTAGCTTGTACATGTATGGTGCAAAGGAGTGGGGTTTAGAGGGGTTTTGTATCTGTTTTGATTTGAAAATATATCTAAACATACTAACTTTCAAAAGAAAAACATACAAAAAAACACCTTGGGGATTAATAAAAATAGCATTCTCCTAAAAACTAAGAACAATATTTAAAGTGTCAACTTTACAGCCAGAAGAGTAAAATTAAGCTTTCTTTTCTAAAAACTAAGTTCATGTTGCAATGCAAATGCACTTCTACAATTATTAAAAATGCAAGATAAAAAAGAGAGAAAAACAGTTAACTTGCCTATCGATGCCAGTATCCAATTTCATCTCCATCTGCTCAATTATCTCTTTTTTCTTCTGAAGGCATTCAGATAACTTAGGAGAAGAGCTATTGTTTATTAAAGAGGAAAACAAACTCCCATTAATAGTCTACTTTCTAGGTTTCTAATCTGTACAACATGAATATATATTTGTAAGCAGATTCTAATACCCATTATTTTTATTTACTCACATACACAATAATTACAAAATAAATCATTACATACATGTACATTAGCATACCCAATTCATTCCTACTAGAAAATTAACCCATTAAAAGCAAAGAAAAGATAGACTTGTTATTCTGATCACTGAGGAAATAGCACTTTGAAATTTTGAAACAGGTTTCTTCCGTATCTAACTATTTGGTATAATAGTAAGAAAAGTAACAGGTAGTCCTACTAATAAAAATGTGGACAGTAGTAAGTAAATCCTGTTACATTTAGCATTTAAAAAAAAATAAAAAGATACAAAACCCAATAATCATGGCAGGCTTCTGAATCTATTAAAATATTAAGGAGTACACAACACTAAAACCCCTATGAATTCTCTGTTATGATATGCAGCTTTTTACAAAGTAAATCACTAAGAAAACTTCCTAAGCTGGGCTTGGTGGCTCATGCCTGTAATACCTGCCTGAGCTACACAGCCAAACAGTAAATTTCCTTTCAAAGTATGATTCAGGAATAACAAGTGATCTGTGAGCTTGTTTCTGGTCTAGACATGTAATTGAACTGTTTAAAACTATCAAACTCTCTCATTTATCTGAACATTTCCTGTACATAATGCTAATGACACAACTTTATGTAACATATATACACATATATATTACTCCATTTCATTTCAAATGCTTTAGAAGGCCATATAAATAAATATGGAGATGCTTTACCAAAATTTGTTTATTCATGTTTCGTGTATGTCTTTAATAACAAGTGTATCGTGTCTATTGGTGTGCATATATGTGTGAGTCTATGTGTGTGTGTGTGTTACTTGGGAGTGAGCCCAAGGCTGTGCAGATACTAAAGCAAACTCTACCATTAAGCTACATTCTTAACTTTTTATTTTTTAAAGAAGGACTTTTAAATTTTATTTTTGAGATTACAATGTAATTATACAATTTCTCTATTCCCTTTATTCCTTGAAAGCCTGCCTTTATACCCCTCCTATCCTCAGCTCTTAGAAAAAAGAAAAACAAAAAAACAAAAACAAACAAAAAAGCACCTTTGAGACTGGGTCTTAGTTGTCCAAGCTGACTTTGAAATCATGTTGACCAGACTGCCTCAAACTTGAGATCCTCCTGAGTAGATAAGATTACTGGTGTATACCATCATGCCTGGTACCTGTTCTGTCTTCTGAAGGATGTGAATTTGCTGAGCTGCACTAGGCTGGAAGGCCTTTTTCATTTTAGATTTCCAATTTTGGCTTATAATACGTAAAACTTTTCAAATATATCAACATTAACAGCACAGTGGGAAGAAAAAACAAGACTTTGATTTCAAATTTCCTGTCCTGTTCGATGTTTCATGAACATGTATTATTTAAAAAAATAATAAAAATATAATACTCATTGAAATACCAATGAAAATATGACAATGTAACTAACCTTATTAGTGGCATAAGGTGATCATTAAACTGTTTGTCAAAAAGATGAAAAATAGTATTGGCCTGTTGTACAACATCCAAAAAATAGAGATTTGCATTCCTAGAATCTGATGATGGAATTCCTAAAATTGGAAGGCACATTTAAGTGAGAACCAACCTTGAAAAAAACTACACAAAAGAAAAGAATGATTTTATATATACTACACAAATAAAAGTAACTCTCATTTAATAAATCAGCAATACAAAATCAGCTTTACAAAGTTTATTCAAATCTATTTTTATACCCCAAAGTTAATCACTCTCATGGTTTATTTAGATAAAATGGAAAAATGAATCAACAAAGCACCTGTGTATTTAGGCATTTGTACTGGCCTGCCTTTGGAGTCCTGACAGGATACAACCTCAGCTGCTGCCACTAAGAGGACCTGTTCCCTTTTAAAAGGGTCCTGTTTTTCTTTATCTCTGTGCCAACCCTCTCCACCCCAACCCCACTCCAGCCTCTCTTTCCTCTCTCCTGCTGCTCCTGACCCCAGAGGCCAGTGTCCCCCTGCTTGAACTCTGTTGCATGCTCTTTCTCTCTCCAGCCCCTTTTTAAAAATCACAATAGCCTGGGCCCTATCTTATCCTTCTCTCCCCAAACCTCAGATCATGTCACATGAACACTTCCAACACACTTTCTTATAACCAGGACTCCTCCTTCCCTTCCTCTGACAGTTAAAGTTGTTTTCCCTGTGGTCTTCTAGTTCAGGGTTACCCTCTACTCTACACAAACTCCTGTCAATTACACACTGCACTCATTACGCTCTCTGTATTTCCTCAACATCCACTATTCTGTGTGGTAATCAACCACATCCTGACACCAACAGATGGAACTGGAACCCTCTGGATCTGTTTCCACCTTTCCTAAAGAGTCACCCACTCAAGGTTCCTTGCTCTTTTCAGCTCTACAGGCCTGTGTTTCTATCCAAAATTAAGACTAGACTAAGAGAAACACCCACAGCTAATGATAACATACAAGCTTACTAACTAGAATTCTTTATATGATGATTCTTCAACTTTACAACTGGAAAACAAAGGTATTGTTTTGTACAAAAGAAACAATCGGTTGGTAGAAAAATTAAAGGTGCCAACACAAACATAATAAAAAACCAAAACACCGTAGAAAATACTAATCACAATAAAATATGAAAATAAAGATAGTACTAGTGAATGTATTTAACCAATAATATAAAAAATTAAGAATATTTAATAACATACATAAAAACTGGTATACACATAGAGGCTAGAAGCAACAAAAATTGTAGGGAACAAGCCTCGTAGAAAAAAAGGTAAATTAACTTAAAATAAATATCAAAAATTTTAAATAAATTTTAATTTAATATATGATATATAATATAATATATAATATATAATATATAAATATATAATTTAATATATAATATATAATATACTTTTGGGATTTTACCTAAAGAAAACAATTCTAGTAAAGGGTAAACTCTATAATGCCACTCCATCATTCTCTCTTGTCACCTGTCAGAATTTTATGTAATCATTAAGAAAAATGATGGTGAATACTAACTATATGAGAAATATTCCCAGTCCAAATGAAATTTTCCTAAACATTTCCAAGTTCAGGATAGTGCTATTAAAATGAATAGGAAGGTTTCCATACTAGATAAACAATAAATCCTTCATACCAGATTTAAATTCATAATATGTTGTTATCTTTTAAATGAACAAGTGTGTGTGTGTGTGTGTGTGTGTGTGTGTGTGTGTGTGTGTGTGTGTGTGTGTGTGTGTTGTATTAATCAGAGGACAACATTCAGGAATCTGTTATCTCCTTCCTGGAATCCAGGTACCGAACTCAGCTTGTCAGGCTTGATAGCAAGCAATTTTATTGCTGAGCCATTTTGAAGATTTAAATCACTCCAATACAAATCACCACACTAAGTCATTTAATACTGGCATGGGTTAAATACTTGATGTCAATTAACTTAAAATACACTATAGACATTGTTGCTTTTGAAGGTAATAAACTGGAGTTATGCCAAAATGATTGATTTATGGCTAAATTTGGTTCATTATTAAAGGTTCCTAGGATGGTGTTTTACACAACCAACAAGAAACCTTCTGAGCTGTATATACTTTCTCCATGCCAGAGTATAATGCTAGGGGTAGAGATACTAAACAAATTCAGATTACAATCCTTAAGAATTTATAAGCTGTTGTTTCTAAGAATAGTTTTACTCCAAATACTGAGTTTACTCACCACTTTAATGAGCTCTCTGATTCATGTGTCTTCTCAGAGGCCTTCTCTGACTACACTTTTATAAAAAGCTTTTGGGGGACTGGCGAGATGGCTGTGGGGAAAGGTACTTGCTATCAAGCCTGACCACATGAGTTCAATCCCTGAAACAAATATGGTGGAAAGAGAGAACCAACTTTTGGAAGTTGTTCTCTAACTTCTACATGTGTGAACACACATAAAATAAATAATGAATAATGTAAAAGAAAAAGAATTCCTGTCTCCCCATTACTATTCTCTACCCCTCACTCAGTTTTGATCTTCCTTCCTGTATTAATCATTTGTCTATCATTTTTACAAGAGTATGATACCCATGATTAGGCATGTAAAAAGTATGTGCTAAACGAATGCTGACAGGAGACAGACATTAACAAATAAAAATGTCACTGTGATTTTTTTATTATAAAAAGTAAATTCAATAAGAATAATGGCTAAGTATGCTGCAACAGGAGCATTCCTTCATCTCAGGTAATGAGCACAAGTGTCTCTGAAAAGGAGACATCTTAGTTGAGGTCAAGTTTTAAAGACAAATGTAAAGAACATAAAGAGGAACACCTGGAGCTACGCCACAGATCATGGTGTTCTAAGCAGTTCGTTTTTATTCCCCCAAGAGGAAAAATCACTAAGGAGTCTTCAACAAGAAAATAATAATTAAGCTGGCTATTACATAACTTGGGAAGGCAAAAATGGACACAGGGGCCAGTTAGGAGATGACAGTGTTTAAGATGGAGTTGTATCAGTAAACGAAGCAAAGCAGATACACAAGTTCTGTTTAAATGCATACTGATAGGGTTTGCTAATGAACTGGCTATCAGCAAGGAAAACAGGAAGGTTAAGGCAGTTTCTAGGTTTGGATAAATAACTACTTCCCTAAAATTCCTGAGAATAGTGTTGGAAGAAGAAAGTTTCTTTGTTTGTTGTTACTTTTGGTTATTTAGAAATCATTATATAGTCTAGGCTGGCCTCAAATTCACAGTGACCTCTGTCTTGTCCTCCTGCAAGCTGGGATTGCAGGTGTGAACCACCATGCCTAGCTAAAAAGTTTCATTTTTAAAACATTAAATCTAAGATATCCACTTATCAGGTCACAGGGTCAGGTTACCAACTAGGTTAAGGAGACTGGAAGTCAGGGAAGATGTCATTATACTATGGATACAAAGAATGAGGCCAAAAAATTTAATATAAATTTATTCCTTTCCAGATTTATTTTTCAATATTTTCTCTCTAAATTTCGTAACTTAATTCCTAAGCAGAATTATTCTTATCTCAATGCTCCTTGACATTTTATAGCATAGTGCATTGTTATACATTCTGCCAATATATTGTGCCAAGTTTTATAGTCTATGACCTTATTCTACTGGATATAAACAATATGAGAGAATTATGCCTATGTTTAGTTTCATCACCTCACAAATCCTAGTTTTACATAAGCTCAAAATACATTGTATTAAACTGAAGTCATCACACAGAAGTCATACACAAAACAGCATTGTGAGTATTGGTCAATCAAACAGGACCAAAGGAGTTTATTAACAGAAAGGCAATATAAGTACACTTACCAGCAAGCCCCGTTTCTAAAGCATAATCAATATGCTCAATACATAAAAATTCCACAAGAATGGTAAAAATTCTAAAGGCATTCCTTGGTAAATCAGAAGGATCAGAAAGCTTAAAAACAAACAAACAAACAAACAAAAAAACATTACTCTTCAAGTCTACATTTTATAAAAGCCATCTTAATAAATCTTTTTTGTATAGAGCACTATTTCAGGTTAAAAAAAAAAAAATCAGTGTTTCCCTCCCACTGTCCACACAATTATAAGACTCTGTACTGGTCTGTAACTCTCTTGACCTAAAATAGTGTTTTTTCAAATCTAGATTATAATTCATGAGTGAAATCAAATCATACTTTCAAGAAATACACACAGGTATGTGTGTGTATACTATGCTTCCATGTGAGATGCATTTTTAACTATGGCAATCAGTCAGAGAGATCTTAGAGCCACTAATAAAGAGGGCTGTTCTAGTATAACTCAAAACAAAACAAAGAATTCTTATGTAGTCAGGATATGAAAACAATTAATACATACTGTAAAATATAACAAGATCAAATTTTAATTCATCATGTCCTGGTAGAGCAAGTCTTTAGAATGTTAGTAAGATTCACTAAGTCTCTTTTTTTTTTTTTCCATTTATAAGATGACCTAACATTGACGATATTTCACTTTAGTCTTAAGGTTGGAATAAAATAGGCAAATCACAAAGAGTTTGTTGCACAGAACTTGACATATACTAAGGTCACAACTTTCATTTGATGTTGCTGCTGCTAGACAATTTAAAGACTTATTGGTAGTTATGTTGAGATAAAGGAATTCTCAACTTCTTTTAACTGCTTTCTATATTATATTAACTATAAATTGCTTTCTGCCTCTGTCAAAGTTATTTACAGTATCCATATGATTTTCAGGGTAATACTACAAGGTGAGAATTCTTTTTGCAAAAGATTTGAGCCTAGAACTGTTAGGGATTCTGGATTCTCTGGATTTTAAATATTTGCAAACATATAATAACATATCTTGGGAGACTCAAATGTAATCATAAAATTCATTTATGTTTTATAAATCCTTACACAATCAGCGTAATGACAACTTAATACAGTAATTTTTACTAAAACCTAACCTTAAGGCCACGGGTAGAACTTTCCAATGAGCTACCATATTAGTGAGCAAGAATTTTATATTCTGGAGCATGAAAGATTCTGTATTTTCAAATCAAGGACATGTAATCCTAATGTAATAATGTAAGCCTGATGTATAACTGAGTTTATAAAGAATTCCATATACCACTTTAAAACTCCAGTGATTATACATCCCTATTTGGTACTAGACTTCTTAACCACTATTCCAACCTGTAACTCTTCCCAATCTTTCTACCCTGTTTCTTTTTCTTTTTCTTTCTTTCTTTTTTTTTTTGTTCCTGAGGCTCAACAGATGTCCTTACTTACATCACAAATCATAAAAACCAAACGTAAGTTCTCACCTTTCTCCTACTTATAACCCCAAATCCATGCATAATACAGAGATACACAGAAAACTGATTTAAAAAAATACAGCAACATCAAAGACTAAGACCTGACATTTATTGGCTCAGCCAACAATGTAAAAAATACACATTCTCTCACATATATAGATAACCATCAATATGGACTGTATCTTACATCTCAATAAATTTAAAAAGGACGAACATCATGATGAAAAGTTTGCCAACTAACAACTGTGTAAAAATCTAAAACCATTAACAGAAAGGTATCCAGCTATGTCTCCAAATATTTAGCAACCAAATAACAAAACTCAGTCACTCTAGGGCCAGGAAAAAAACAAACAAAGAGAAATTAAAGAGCATTTCACAATGAATTAAAATATATTTTAAAAAAGCAATCATATAACTAAATGCACACACACACTGGAAAAAGTTAACAAACTCAGATTTTACCTGGAAAAAAAATTAAACTAAGACAACAAACAACTAGAAAAGGAGCAAGTAACACCTAAGTAAGCTGAAGAAAGGAAACAATAAAAAACAGAAACCAGGGCAGTGGTGGCGTACACCTTTAATCACAGCATTTGAGAGGCAGAGTCAGGCAAATCTCTGAGTTTGATTCCAGCCTGGTATACAGAGAGAATTCCAGGACACGCATGGTTACATTTAAAAAGCCTGCCTTGAAAACACTAAGCCAAACAAACAAAAAAGAACAAAAATCAGCGAAATCTAAGAAAAAAAGGGGAGAAAAATTAATAAAACCAAAAAGTGGTTATTGGGGAAAATAAGTAAAAATATTATACCTTTCAAGATTTGTTTAGAAAACAAATTACTGATGTTGGGAATAAAATAGGTATTTGTTGTAACAGTTTCTACAAAAAATGTTAAGGCAGTAAGAAAGGTGACATAAATAACATAAAAAATTTGACTAACTTGAATAACATGACTACTTATTGAAATATTTATTCCAATAAACACAATTTTGGTGAAATATGTAAGTCTTTAAAAGAGACAAACCAGGCCAATGTACCCTTAATCCCAGCAATTGGGAGGGAAAAGAAGGTGGATGAATCTCAGTGAGTTGAGGTCAGCCTGGTCTACATAGTGAAAGCCTGTCTCAAAACAAACAAACGAAACTGCCAAAACTCACTTAAAATTAGATTCCCTACATATTTCTGTATACAATTAAGTAGGCTGAATTTTTAGTGAAAAATCCTTACAAAGAAAACCGCAGCCCTGAGTAGCTCCCTTGTGAGTTATAGCAAATGTTAAGACAAAAACACCATCATCTAACCCCACAGATGACTGAAATGGGAGGCAGAGGTACTTTGCATATCATCCTGTGGGTACAGCATCACCTTCATTATTAAATCAAGACAAAGACATCAAAGGCCAATATCCTTCACAAACACTAAAGAAAAAAATCTTAACACAATTTAACAGACATGGGCCAGAAAGATGGTTTAGAAAGTAGTTTGCTGCCATGTCTGATAACGTGAATTCAATTCCAGGGACCTACTTTGTAGACAGAGAACCAATTTCCTTAAGTTTTCCTCTGACCTCCAAAATGTGTGCCCTGACACAATAAAATAAAGGCAGTTTAAAAAGTTTTTGTTTTGTTTTTTATATTTTGCAACCCTATTACCCAACAAACTATAACTAAGAAAATGACAAGTGATGACCAGCTGGGGATGCAAGGCTAACATCTGAAATATCAGTCAACATGACTCTCCCAAAAGAATAAAAAGAAAAAAATGTAACAAAATTTAACACTAAATCTTTTATTTCATTTGTTTGTTTATCTGTGGGATACAGTCTCCTGTAGCCATGGCTGCCTTCAATCAAACTCATCATGTGGCCAAGGATGACCCTGAACTCAAGATCTTCCTCCTCCACTTCCCAAGTACTAGGATCTAATAACACCTAAATTTAATAGAACACATTAATAGCATAGCATATTTCTCCTCGCTGGAGAAATGGATCAGTGGTTAAGAATGTTGGCTGGAAGACCAAACAACCCAGGTTCAATTCCCACTATCCAGATGGCAACTTACAATTGTCTGTAACTCTAGTTCCAGAGGATCTGATATCCTCACAACATGAAGGCAAAACACCAATCAATGCTCACAAAATAAAAATAAATAAAATGGAAAAAAAAAAAGATTTTCCTTAAGTCAGTATTTATGAAAATCCTACAGTCAACATCCATATTTAGTAGTCAAAGACTAAATGCTGTACTCCAGTAGTCAGGTGTAATAACAAGGACTTGTTATCTGCACGTCTTTCCATTCCACACTGTCCTGTAAGTCCAGCCAGAGCAACAAGGCACAAGAGCAAAATAAAAGGCATCTATATGGAAAGGAGACAGTAAAGCTGTCTTAGTGGTAAAATAACATGACAGTTTATGTAGGGTGTCTAAGAAATTCTATTAAAAAAGATTATTAGAAGAGTAAACTTAACAGGTAAAGACCCAATTATACACTTTTACATACCAACTTAAACTTGAAATTAAATAAAAGCTTAAAAGTTACTTTTTCATTTTTTGGTTTTTTGAAACAGGGTTTCACTTTGTAGCCCAAGCTAGCCTAGAACTCAACAATGTAGCCTGATTGGTCTTGAACTCATAGACTTCTGCCTCAGTCTCCCTTGTGCTGCGATTATAGGCATGCCAAATTGAAAATATTTTTATATCATAATAATTAAAAATACAGTAATTCTTCCCAAATAGAATCATAGATTCACTGTCATTCCAATTAAAACCAGATCTTTCCCTGATAGAAACAGATAAGCTATTAGACATAAATGAAATATAAAATGGTCCATATAGAAATGTCAGAGAACATACTACCTGACTCAAGGCCTATTACATCACTGCAGCTAAAACAGCATGATACTGGCATGAAAGACAAATGGTACAGAACAGAGATTAGAAACAAACCATAAATAAGCAATTGACTGATTTTTAACCAAGGTTGGAAGTAACTTGTTAGAGAAAGAAGTCTTCAATAAATGATGGCAAAATAAATAGAAACCTAATTGTAAAAAGAATATAAACTTCAAAAAATACATGAATATATGAGATTCTTAAATTAATTCAGAGCTGATGATAGGCTTAATTAGCAAAACTGCAGATGGCTCAAACACTAGAAAATCTAAAAGGCAATTCCTGTAACTCTTAGCTCAACAAAGATGCATCTGCAATTTAAAAAATGCCATCCACAACAGATATGTTCAAATGCTTTTATGAAAATTATGAACTTCTATACTTAGAAATATTAAATTGCAAAATCAAGTATCTGATGAACAAACTATAGACAGATTATAGAACTTAAAAAGTGTTCAAAAGACAAGTTGACTTTAAAATTTTCACTAAAGATATGATTGAAACACTTTATCAAAGAAGACATCCAGAAAACAAACCCATGAAAGGACGCTCAGTGTGAAAGCGTCAAGTCATTAGGAAAATGAAATATTAAAAGCCTAAGCTAGCACTTCACACTCTACTAGCTTAGTTGTTTCTTAAGAAGAAATACCCTATGACTCACATCACTGCCAAGTACTTCTGAGATTAATTCATGCTGGTTCGTGTAATTCTAGCTGATTCATTTAAATTGGTATAGCTTTCTAGT